TGACATTAGAAAAAAATTTAAATAAGAATTATCTCCCTACTAAATTAAAAACTTAAATTATTTGCAGCTTTTTGATGCTGCAGAAGGAACAAATTACATATCTATCTTTTTTCGAGAGAGTGGATTCTACAGCCAAAAATGCATTAGCAAAACCAGGATGTGGGTATTTAAAAGAAAACAAAAATTGACTGGCAAACATTAACCTATTTGAAAGAGAAACTCGCACAAACAGCTTTAATTAATCTAATATGATGACCACAAAAAAACGACTATAACTGTTTTTCCCTATTGGTCCGATCTCAATTTTGAAAAGAAAACTCCAGAGTGAAAAACACATTAATAGATAATGATTTAGGAAATATATAGATGAAATTCAAACATTTCAATACGTGTTCTAGAATTGAAATTTACAGAAATCTGTCAAAAGTTGGAACGAAATTAATCGAACACTCTTTCTCTGAAGACTCAACTTCACAGGTCTTTTTGGATCCTCAAAAAGACCATGGAATTTTTCAGCTTCATGAATTTTTATATATTTTTTGGTTTTACATTCTTTTAGCATCCATGGTTTGAGTATGTTTCTAGCTTTCAGCAGCCCTGAGGAGCATTAGAACTGGCCAAAATGTTTGGGCAATAAATAAAAAACAAATCTCAAGGCTAGTCATGGCAATTTTCTAGTTTTATGAGTTCAACATCTTCACGCACGACCCTGGATGTAAAAAGAAATTAAAACAAAGGAAACAAACAAATTAGTTAATATATTTTTGTTAAATATAAAGTCAAACACAGTAGAGATTTATTATAGCACACTAGCATAAGGCACTAAGAGATGAACGATTTGGAAAGGAGCCTGGGCAAGTAGGTATAACGAGAGTGAAACAGGTTTATCTTCGGTACAACATTTCTGCATGATTATATCTCATCAGGTCAATGGAAGTTGGAAAGGCCGCTTTCTCCTGACTGCGAATTGCCGTCTTTGGCCAAATTCGCATTCTGAAATCGAAATCGATTCCACCCTAATTGCCGTAATTGTCGGCCTATTTGTCAAATCTGACGTGCGTTTGCCTTCCGGCGCTCTCAAAAAGTAAACATCGTTAAAGTTAAACTTCGAAGTTCAAGCAGAGTAAATAAATTAAGTCCTTAAAGTTCTGGGTCGACTAAAAGAAAAGTGATTATTTGGAGATTGCGAGATACGGTTTAGTGTGACGAACGTTTAGAAAAACATTTTCTTTATCGTACCAACGTTTCGATCTTTATTGAGATCATCTTCAGGGCCTAGGATTTATAAACATTGTTTAAATTATACAAATACATGTCGGATGTGAAAAAATGAATTTATACAATGCTAGAAATTTTAGACTTAATCGAAGTACAAAGTATTTATTTATTTTTACGCAGTATTTATCTCAAAGTGTTAGGTATACAAAGTGTACTTGTGGTTAGGAGTAAATTATTCCATAGACAAATATGACAAGGTTTTAAGGAGGTTAAGGTGCTTAAAAAAACCACCAATAAACTTATAAACAAATAGCTACGAAGAAAAATGTTCCAGTTATTGCGGCTGGAAATAACTTTTGTCAAGATTATCAGAGTGAAGAAATTACAAACACATTATCAAAGCAAGAAAAAAAGGAATTTTATGTTTATATTCGTTCACAAAAAGAGAGAACAGCATCGGACTTAAAACAAACCCGCATTGCATTGTGTATATGTCAGAGACATTGCTGACATTTCTCTAAAACAAATGGTTATACACTTTTTTTTTAATAACAGTTTGTAGTTTGTCCACAATCACATATCATCTAGGAGGTCGTGTCGTTGGTTGTAGTTTTGCCTTGGTTATAAGCTGGGTGCCCAAAAACTCACCACTGACGATAACAAAAAGCCGAAATTTCTGATAGGCCAAAACATAAGGGACAGTTTAACCAAAATTAAAAATTAACTCTTACACTAATATATCAATGGTTACAGGTCAGGGTTACAAAATTAACTGTATTTCCAGTCCAGTTTGCAGTGGACACGTAAAATTGCTAACAACTGCTTGACCAACAAGGAATCACCATCGTGTAGACACGAACAGGTGAACACGGGATAACCTTAAAGGAAATTTTGAAGGCCATCTGATATTCAAATTGCACATTGAGGAGGCTCCTGTTTGACACAGGTTCAATCTGGAGAAATTATTGAATTCCACATCTGACTTTAAACGAGTCAGACTTCATAGCCCTTTTCCAGATGAGCCATTTTAATGTTTATTATTTTATATTGTAGAAGTGTAAAAGGCTGAATCTTCCACCTTGGCTTATTGTCTGTGGAAGGATCAAACTCACAAAAACATTGGAGAGACAAGATACTTCACTAACAGAACCGAAGAACCTTGCTATATATCTAAAACAACGAAATTTACCAAGAGATAACAACCTCAGAAAAAAATATAAAGTGCAGAAAGTTTCAATACTGTACTTATATTGTATAAAGGTATATTGTATAGGTAGAGAGAATAATTTGTAACCTAAATTTGAGGCTGTAATCGCTATGAGGTCTTGGAGAGGTTCCAAAGATATTTTAAAAAATTCCGTATGGTGGTTATATTTCTCTAAAAAAATGGCTATAATTTTTTTTTAAATATAACGTCATAATTTTGCCCCAAGGAATCTACCAACTTTACCCAACGCCAATTATTTACACTTTGGTTTTTCAAATGAACTTACACAAACTACAATTAATTATTACTCTCGTCTCTAATCTCTGATTCTGGCCGCAATTTTCCAGGCAAGAATGTATTCCATAAATTTTATGGAGCATATTTTAGGTTGTCAATTAAGCCTCCTAACTAACAATCGCTAATGGGATTCCAAACTTTTTGTAATTCAAGTTTGGTCAACTTAAAATCAAGCAATGACGATCATCCTGTGTGATGGAAATTATATATGCATCCTTTTTAAAAATAGCCTAGACCAGTCATGGTCATCATAAGCCCCGCGAACAATTTTTCAATATTAGCATTTAACTTCTAGTAATTAATTGAATGAATTCTCGATACTTATATATTTTTACAAAAAGATTCCGTTATAAAAATTAAAACTTTTTACTCATCCGTACTCGATATGATCTATTTGATGTTCAAGCGACGTTGTCAGCAGGCGAGTTGACTGAAACGCCAATTTTTATGCAATAGCTCTGGACGAAAGTTGCAATGTAAATGATACTGCTCAGTTGTTAATTTTTATCAGAGCTATCACCGAAGATTTTCAAATTTCGGAAGAACTTTTATCGATTGTTCCGATGAAAGGCACAACAAAGAGAGATATTTTCCGAAAGATTGAAAGAAAAAAAAAGAAATTAGTGTACAATGTTGACTGTAAAAAATTGGTGAACATTGCAACAGATGGACCAAACATGATCGGAAAAAAATTGGGCTCATCAAACGCATTGAAGATAAAATTTTCGAAATCGATCCAAATCATAAAATTATACCCATACATTGAATTATTCATCAACACGCACTATGCAAAACCATTTTAAAAATCATGTTACAAATATAATTCTGAGATTAGTGAATTTCCTACAATCAAAAGGTAGACAGTACAATCAAATCACAGGCAATTTAATTATATCCTTGATTTATTGAACTAAATACTAGTAGATGTACTATATCGCAATAAAAATCCTTTGGTTAAGTTTGGGGAAGGTTTTAAGACATGGGACCTTCAACAGAAAATAAAAATATTTTTAACACTTAAAGAAAATGAGGATTTTTCTGAATTATTAGATTCACATTGATTCGTGATTTACCTTTTTTTGGATATTCCTACACATTTGAACCAATTAAGCACATGTTTACGAGGGAAAAATTAGTTACTCATGATTTAATGCTGAAATTTTAAAGCTTTTAAAATAAAGCTTAGCCTTTTTTCTACAAATCTGACAGAATGCAAATTTGATCATTTTCCAACGTTCCAGAACATATCTTTAACTATTTTAATAGAAAAAGTTCAAACATCAATATTTTGATTAATATTCTTGCACTAATGACAGATTTGCTTCCTTAAAAAAATAGATAAACTCTTATCTATTATCAGGAATCAATTTTCTGTACAAGGTGATGACTATCCTGTTGATGTACAATTAGAAATAATTGATTTACAATGTGATGAATTATTACATGAGAAATATCGAGAAGAGCAAGAAAATATGTGCAATTTTTATAAGCAATTGATTATTGAAAACTATTTAAATTTAAGAAAAACTTGCCAAAACGTATTTTGTAATCTTTAGCTCAACGTACATTTGTACAAATCTTTTTTTTTAAATTAAATAAAAGGACAACAAGATTAAGATTGAATGATTTATATTTGGAAGCTGTGTAGCTGTAAGAATAGCTACTAAAAGTATAGAATATAGATATAAAAATAATATATATTAAACCAAATATATTTAAAAAAATAAGCTATGCAAACTGCCTCAACACGTCGCATTAGTTATGGTAATTTATTGTATTGATTTACATATATTTATTCATAAACAAATTTCACAATAAAATTTTGTTTACTTAAAGAAATAAGTGTTTTGCTAAACATTTTTCAATTTAACTATCAAAACTTTTATTGTTTTTAAACATCCCTTCCCCCTGATAACGCCTTATAAGATTTTTTGCTTTACAGAGAACCAAACAAAAATCTTGATACACGTCAGTAGGTTGATGATCAGCAAGGAAAATATTTGTTAGAGGATTAACCTATTAGCTTTATATATCAAGCTAATCCTCGACATTAATATTTCGTCCGACCCGTGAGAAGAAAAAAATTTGCCAATCCGGCCCGGGGGCAAATAGAGTCGGCCATGCCTGTCCTAGACCAATAGGTTTTTAAATATATTCAACAAAACTACTTTTTTCCGCCCCCGAATCAAAACCAGGGACCAGTTGGCACTCGGAAAAATACAAGGGGCGAAAGAGGGCAGAGATCCGAGAGGGGAAGGGGCTCTTGAAAACCGGAGAACGATGCTGTAACAGGAACACAGTCTGCAACTGGGCAGCGCGATGGAACAACCATCCGCTCTACTGCTACTCCTCGTACTACAGAGCACCGCTGCCGTCTACCCAGGATACACTACAGACATAGGCAAGTTCTCAGTTGACTTTTGGATAAATTTGGTTGACAAATGTTAAGCCTCATTCAATGAAATTTGTTCATGAACATTAAGTGTCTTCTGTTCAAAAACGTGTTTACACTTCGAAAATAAGTAACATGTTTAAAACGTTAAACATAGCTGATCGTTTCCGATCATTCCGGTCTGCTTGTCCTTTTTTTATTTTTATTTTTTTAAATCTTTTAACTCCAGTCCAATTTAATTTCTTTACTGGATTAATTTGATAATCCAGAATTCTCTATATAAAGTTACTCTTTTTTTAATTGATGTTTTGTAAACAACAAACTTCTGAAATTTCAATCTGACAAAGAAATTGACAGTAGAAAATTAAATTTTCTATATACACAAATTAAATATTTGCCTATTTGCAGTCTTAGAAATGAAGTTAATATTTAAAAAACCCAAGTAATTTTTTTTTTGTTTTCGATCACAATTTTTATTTTAAATGTATTTTATTTATTTGTTTTTTAATTGAAAGTAATACACTTTTTAAACGTGAGTTCAAATGTAAGTTAAAAATCTTGGATGTTTTCGATTATTTTGGTCTGCCTAACTTTGCTGTTTTGGTATGTCAGACAAGTTTTGAATTATTTCAGTGGTTATTAGGGTTACAAATCCACCACTGAGGATGGTGATGAGCCGTTTATAATTTTTATAATCAGGGGTCGAATTCTTAAATCACAAAAAAACATACACTTACCTAGATCAATCTTGGGATTAATTTAAATTATTAATTATTAAAGTATTAAAAGCTGTGAAAAAGGACCCTGTGGAACAGTCCAAATTGCATGACAAAAGAAACAAAATGGCTCAACATCTTAACATCAGTCCTGGATATAAAAATAAAAGAAAAAACAAAGGAATAGGAAGAAGGTTTGATGATGTTGAGATTTAGAGGAAGTCAGACGTACTGGTTAGTCAGGGTTATAAGCAGGGTGAGGCATCAATACAAACCCACCACTGAAAGCCTGTAGAACAGTTCAAAATGCGTGACAAAAGAATCAAAATAGCTCAACATCTTAACACAGCCCTGGATAAAAAACTAAAAGAAAAAACTAAGGAATAGGAAGAAGATTTGACAATGTTGTTGGGATTTAGAATGAGCCAGACGTGCTGGTTAGTCAGGGTTATAAGCAGGGAGAGGCATCAGCATAAACACACCACTGAGGATAGCACATAGCCGTTATGCAAAAAGACCAAGTTGCAAGTTTATCACCCTGCAAAAAGTTATATTTTGGCCTTTTTCCATCCATTTTGATCTGCCTGTCTTCGCTGTTTTTAGTCTGTAAGACGAGTTTTGAATTTTCGCCTTGTTCAGTGGTTATTAGGATTATAAACTAGTCAAGGCAATAATACAAACCCCGTACTGAATATGGTAACAAGCCGGTGATGATTTTTATATTTAGGGTTAGTGATAAAATGTTGAATTCATAAAAACACCCACTTGCGAAAATCAGATTTTTAATTTAATCAAGATCCTAAAAGCTCTGAAAAAGTACCCTGTGGAACAGTACGAAATGCAAGACAAAAGAAACAAATAATGAGAACAACATATTAACACCAGCCCTGGATATAAAAATAAAGAAGTGAAAGAAGGGTTGATGATTTTGTTAGGTTTTAGAAGGTGTCAGACGTGTTGATTGATTGGGGTTATAAGCAGGGTGAAGCATCAACACAAACCCTCCATTGACGATAGCGAATAGCCGAAACGCGAAAAGACTAAATTACAGGTTTATCACCTTGCATAAAGTTGCATTTTGGTCGTTTATGATCATTTTGGTATGCTATCAAGTGCGGTTCGACATTTTTCCATCTTTAAGTGGACCCAATTATTGTGTCAATACTTGTATTGATTTATTTTATCTCTACACTTTTTGAGCCTAAATGCCATGCTTTTTTTATCGTCTTGGTTCGCCCATTCTCGCTCAATTGGTCTACCAGTCCAGCTACTGCCAAAAAGACATCGTACAAAGAGAAGTAAGTGAACGAGCCTGAGAGACAAAAAATGATCGGAAAGTTCATTACCTCTCTAAGTCTCAAGAGGAAATCTCACAAAAGCGAAGTTTCATGAAATTGCCTAAATGGTGGAACAGGAAAAGAAATAAAGATCAGGCGAGGGTTGTGATGCAAACTGGAGCCCCACCCTCGCACACCTTGGCATTGTTGAGGAAGATGCACTTAACTAGGACCGTGATGAAACTATCCGCCTTATTTTGTAAGCTTGCAATTCCTATCCGTTTACATCTACTACTTTCTTAATTTGCTTTGTTTACCACCGGTATTAGATTAACGCCTCAGAAGTCGGCGCGGCGGCGGCTCGATGCCGTTATTATACGATAAGATGATGGAGATGATGTAACAGATTTTTTCACTCTTATTGTCTTGGTTCTCTTCTCTAAAATTGCTACGGGAAAGCGGACAAAGGATGAAAAGCACGCCAAAACACCGACTTTTATACAGTCATCCTCGCATAATCCGATGTTATATGTTAACAACTTTCGAAAGATTTTACCTTCCGAGTGAAAGAGGCAGTCCGTTTTGGTTATTCGCCCAGGGGTATTTCCGAATATTATAGATTATAAACTATTTCCAGCCTAAATAGTTCAACTTTGGCCATTAAGCCCTTTTGATTGTGCCTAACTTTAATCATCCATCATTTTATTTTAAAAAAAATATATATACCTATTAATAATATGGTATAGTAAATTAAGTGGGAACTTATTTATTACTTTGATAAAAAATTATGAGATTTCTTCTTAAGTTCAGCTGAAAGAGTAAAAGTACTCACTACTAAAAAACTTATAAACTAAAGTACTATACGTTTTATTAGCTCTAAAAATGTAATAATTATTTTTCTTATAAAAAATGTAAATAATTATTTAGAAATCGTGAGATGCGGTCTGGTGTGGTGTAGGTTTCAGAAAAACATTTTCTTTATTTTAACGTTTCGATCTTTATTGAGATCATCTTCAGGGCTCAAAGTGTTTGTCTTCTGTGTAATTGGGCACTCCCGACACGACACGCAAGAATGACACAATTACACAGAAGACAAACACTGTGAGCCCTGAAGATGATCTCAATAAAGATCGAAACGTTGGCACGATAAAGAAAATGTTTTTCTGAAACCTACAACACACCAGACCGTATCTCACGATTTCTAAATAAATATCGATTAACGGTCACTAATCACCACACACAGAATTGAGTATGTTTGGTTCTTTCAAATTAGCCTGGTATTAATCACTTCAATAATTTTTAAACATCGTTAACACAGATGCAACNACGATAAAGAAAATGTTTTTCTGAAACCTACATCACACCAGACCGCATCTCACGATTTCTAAATAAATATCGATTAACGGTCACTAATCACCACACAATGTAAATAATGTTATCGTTGACTGTTATTACTTTTACATAAAAAGTACTTTGGATGAGGTTATTTCGAAACAAATTTTATTTTTTATGTTTTAGTTCGCACGTGGTAAAGAGAAAATAAATAGATAGCAAGATAGCAAAAGATTAAGAGGGAGAGAGAGAGAGCGAAACAGAAAGAAAGAGAGGGAGAGAAAGTGAGAGAGAGAATTATAGAGAACTAGAGGGAACGGAAAAAGAAAGAGAGGAAGAAAGAAAGAGAGTGATTTTTTTTTTTTTGTGTGTGTGTGTGTGTGTGTGGGTGTGAAAGATAGATACATAGATAGGTAGATAGAGAGAGAGAGAGAATTATAGAGAACTAGAGAGAACAGAAAAAGAAAGAGAGGTAGAAAGAAAGAGAGAGATTGTGTGTGTGTGTGTCTGTGTCTGTGAATGAAAGAGTGAGAGGGAGAGGGAGAGAGGGAGAGGGAGAGAGGGAGAGGGAGGGATGGAGAGAGGGTGAGAGAGAGGGAGAGAGAGTGAGTGAGAGCACGTGGGGTAGAATGGAAATTCAGGCATAGAAAGATAGTGAGAGAGAAATAGAATGAGAGAGATGGAGGGTCAGACACACAAAACAACATTTATCGAAGTAATTAATAACGAAGTATGTTGGATCGTATGGAACCTCCGTTACATCAACTTTTAACGCGTTTTACAAAATAAAATTTTAGGTAATTATTCTTTTTTGTACAAATTGTTATTAGAACGTAAGTAAATTTTATATGAGTAATTTAGAATAGGACAGTCATTACCACCGGCTCGGAAACCGACGGGATACAGTTATAACTATCACGTCGATAGATCAGATCTCTTCTAGTTCCCGTGATGTTTCGCTATGTATCAGAAATGATAATAATAATAATAATTCAAGCCTCCAGTTGATAATTTTATTTTTTATGTTAATGGTTTAATTAGATTCAATTGGCATAGATTTTTTTTTTTTTTTTTGAGAGAGAGAGAAAGAGGGAGAGAGAGGGTGAGAGAGTGAGCTCTGTGTGGTCTGCAGGGTGATGACCTATAATTTGGTCTTTATCGATCATTTTGGTCTGCCTATTCTGGCCGGGTTGTTCTATAACGATCACATTAAAGGATTTTTTTCCTTGTTATGTCCGGTATATTTCCATTTTATACTAGTCCTTCAATGTACGATTTACTATTTTAAACTGGAATCAAAAAATGGAAATATCCTGGTTGGATTTAGTAAAACGTATTAATTTTGTTTTTCGTAATTTCCAATGCATTTTAAAGGATCGACATGTACCTCCGAAGTGTCCGTGCTTAGTTTAAGTCTATGTTTGTTATCAAAGAAAGAAATGGGAATAATAACAGCTGAGGATGGGAGTGATTTGCAAGCCAACTCTCTTTTGGCCCCTGACTTACCCTACGTAAAGGAAGTCGTTTCATATAATTATCCAAATCTTTTTACAGCTTTTTTCAATGAAATTCAGACAGTACGATAATATTTATAAGCTACTATAATGTACCCGTGTTAAATATTCTGATCTGAAGTTGGATTTGTAATGATGAAGTTCTTTAGATTATACGGTTTATTAAATGA